CTGTACCTCTGTGTCTCTTCCTGGATCTTCTCTATGGTTCTCTGGGGTTTAGGGCTCTGATCATCTCCCTAATTGACATGAGAACACAAAACATCATCAATAATATGTTTGTGTTATTATTGCTCAAAAACCATTATCTAGGCTGGGAGATAAAGGCTTAACTGGTCAACAAAATACTTTACAGTTTAGTTACCTCCACCATGGAGCCTCCACTATAGAAAAAGGCAGCAAACTCTTAACAACCAAGTTTGTAACTGTCCTGTGGCCCTCGTGTTGCCTTTCTTTAGTCTGTCTTCATATCGGGGTCAGAGGCTCCTAAGCAGTGAACATTAAATGAACTGTTTAACCAGTTGACCTGATGGATGAGTACATTTTTACAAGCTAAGCTTTATCTGTTACTATCAATCTTTAGTTATCTTTTGATTTTAGCTAGCTACATAGCCATAAAATAAAGCTACACACTAATATCTTAAAGTTAGCATTACATGGATCTTAGTTTAACGCACCGCGATTCACATATTAAGTTGCAGTAACGTTAACAAACGTAAACTTACCATCTGAAATCCCAGACACGGCACCGTCCTCGGTGCGAAGCGAAGTCTGGTCGTGGAGATTTTGAATCAGGCCGTTCAAGCTCTGTAACATCCTCAGACTGACGTAAATGCTGAGAGGAGGAGGCTGTGGTCCTTTCTCCTTGCAGTCAAAAACGGAGCAACTTTACGCTCTTAAATCGATTCAGTGCACGGTCAGGCTTCATATGGCTTGCCTTAGAAACCACGTGAACCCTGTCTGTGGGCGTAACCACGTATGTGTTTTTCCTGGTTTTTCCTGCGTGGTGCAAGTTGCAGCACTGGCATTGGCTGTAACTTGACACGTGGTTGAAACCACGTGTCAAGTTACAGCCAATCTCCGAAAGTTGACACCAAAAACCAAGGCATAATTTGATACATATACCGACCGGTACCATAAAAGAACCGAAGTTCGGTACTCGGCCCTACAGGGGTCACTGGTGCCCATATCCAGCAGTCACTGTGCAAGAGGCAGGGGCCACCCTGGACAGGTCTCCAGTCCATCACAGGGGCACATAGAGACAAATGAGACACAACCATTAACTCTTTCACTCACACCTAGGGACAATTTAGAGTTACCAGTCAGCCTAACATGCATGTTTTTTGTCTGTGGGAGGAAACTGAGTACCCAGAGAAAACCCACACATGCACAGAGAGAACATGCAAACACCACCCAGATAGGCCCCCAGCCAGGATATGAACCGGGCTGGGATTTGACCTGGTGAGACCTGCTTGCTGAGAGGCGGCAGCTGTGCCAACTGCGCCACCGTGCTGCAACAAGTGAAACATTGTCATTAATAAATAAAATTTAAAAAATCATGACCAGAACATATTTTACATTCATAAACGTTTACATTATTTGATATTTAGTATATAATATGAGGACACGTTTCAAATTGCATACAAGCTTTAAATTCTGTCAACTGGTGTTCATAAATACTTTTTGCAGACAACTTCTCTGAGTTTCTGAAGATCTTTTACAAATTTTAAAACAAGGCTATCTGAATTTGTCATTTTGTTATGGCTTGTTTGTAACCCTTTAGTCAGAATATTAATCTACATTCATTCATTTAGCTTTTTACTACATAATGGAAGATTGATCATTACCAGTTTTAGGAAACTGAGTAGTTCAGTGTCTTTATTTCCAACAACTGTTCTATATTCTATATAACCATTCTAACTGATGTGCAAATGCTGCTAATTGTTCCAGTTTATTGTAAATAAAATGGCTGCTGACAAACCCCAATGCTCTGGCTATGTCTTTCAGTTGCTGAATGTGTTTTCGGGTCTCTGTTCATTGTAAATGTTCAGTTTATTCAATCACAGGAGGCTCTGAGGAGCTCAGCTTGTTCTGGCCCAGACTGCACAGTGTTGGTTGGAGGACAAGCTGGGTTTTATAGCTACAGTTTGTAAAATGAAGTTTAATGTTAGGTCATGAGATTGAGAGGATATATTTCTCCATTTGATTTATAGATTTATAGCAGTTGTTTGTTTTTTGACACAGGATGGCCACAAGAGCTGCCTGTTCTACTGATGAAAGTGAGGGTTTATGTACAAAATCAAGAAGGAACATACAATATTTGGTGGCATCACTGGGATTAAATAACAAAGGGGCGACTGTGGCTGAGTGCTTATAGCAGTCGTCCTCCAATGCAATGCCGAAGTATCTCTGGGCAAGACACTGAACCCCTCATTGCCTCCGATTAGTGTCCCATTGGTGTATGAATGTGATAAAGCTCTGATCATTCTTTGTATAGATATAGTAGAGTGCTGTATGAATGGGTAAATGAGGGCACAGATTGTGTTGTAAAGCACTTTGAGTGTCTCGATAATAGAGAAAGGCACTATTACAGTCCATTTACCAATTAGAATCTGATTGTCTTCAAGTCTGACTTTTTTTTTTGCCAATCAGTAACATCTTTCTTGCCATATTGCTATATAATGTTATTCTGTCCTTTTGCTCTTAATTCAGACACAAATAGCAGTTTTTGCTTGAGGATTCTATAAATGCACCACACCCAGAGATAACTATAACAGGATGTGAGTTATTTTTCACTCGTCACTTGATTTGTCTTGTACAGGGAAGGCATTTTCCCCCTTAATATGTTGTAATTTAGAAGAATCTCTCCATATGTTTGAGGTTTGATACCTTTTTTTTTTAACACATAATTTACTATACACTCCAGCTTTGTGTGCACCTTTGGGTGGGTGTTTTCTGCTCGGACATCTGTCATTGATGAGTGAAAATTCTGTTTGACACATAATGTATTTCTTATGAAGTTGTCTTTGTCTTCCACAGGTAAACCTGTATGTAACCTGTAGTGTTAATGATTTCCTAATGTTCTGAACACACACAGAAGCAGCTGGTGCAGATTAATGATTTTCCCCTTTTCTACACTCTAACAGAACATTCACCGTGTGATGAGCACGTTCAAATCTATGTGCTTGTCTTTGGATTTGAATGCCTTCGTCTTAAGTTCAAGACTGAGGGGGATAAATTTAAAGCTGCACTCCAGGCTTAGGGTGGGACAGACATAACACTGAAATTGCAAAATAGGATTCTGCTGTAATTATTGCATGTTTGTGTCAAAGGTGGGTGCAGTTCACTATAATTTGCTACACAGTTATCCACACAAATGCAAACAGGGATTCAAATTAGATGTTGAAATATCTGCTTTTATGTAGAGACCTCGTCTGTGGAAAATTTATTTAGAAAAGGTTCGAGTGTCTGCTGTCAGACCGAAAGAGAAACTAGTTGTGGAGTCACTCAGAGCTGCTACTTTCTTACTTTATGAGCATGTCTAAGTGTTTTCCTCTGCACATATGTCAAACTCAAGGCCCGGGGGCCGAATGTGGCCCTCGTTGACATCTTATCTGGCCCCCAAGATCATATGTTAAATGTAAAATACTTTTTTCACTTGAATTTTTTTCAATAATCTTTGATTATGATGTCAAAAGTGCAACAGAGAACGTCAAATGAGACCAATCAAACTCTCTTTTTTTTTTTTTTTTTTTTTTTGAGGATTGTGAAGCCAAGAAAAGATGTTGGGTATCTAACTTGAGTTAATGTAGATTCTGCTGGACCTTAGTTTGAAAAAGGTTTTAATTTTGGCCCCCTTTTGTAAGTGAGTTTGACACCCCTGCTCTAAAGTATGTACTGTAGTTTGAGATGAACTCATGATGATGTCACTTACCAACTCCCTATAACTGGGTTTAGACTTGCAAAAGCTTCATGAGGGATTTATCTCTGCATTTCTGTTTCAGTGTGTGTTTCCCTTGGCTGGTTTCAGGTCAGTTACTGGTCATGAATATGTTAAGTTAGATTTATTTTTCCCAGTAAGCTGAGTCACACTACGGCACGATATCATGGAAAGCACCTATGGGAGTATTTTTCTCAACTTGTTGCGCTAACACTTGGAATTTTACAGGCGGGCAGAGCTGACGTCAGACGATCTGTGTGTGTGCACTGGCTTCTGTTTGCAATTAGTTATCTCTTGTTAAATGCCTACCACCAGCTCTGCTGCTGTGTGTACATCCAAAAACAAGGAAATGGTGTCAAGCTTTATTATTTGGGGGGGGGGGGAAACAAAAACGAGGAATTGTGCCTGCCTCTGAAAGTTTGAATTGACATTTTAGCAGTGAGGCCCTTTTCTGTTTTCTGCTTGGGTTTTGAAGTTCTTCTTGTTTTTTGGAATTTTACAGAAAATGAAGTGTTTATTGGCATTAAATGAGCTTTAACTAACAGATATACGTTTAATATATATTTTCTTTAACGGCCAACCTGGTTAAGCCAATTAGACCTATGTAGTGGGTGCATAGGGTCCATAAGGAGCAACTCATGAGTTAAAATGTATTTTTTTGACACTAGATTTTGTTATGGATTGATCACTTCAAAGAATTAAGAAATGATTAAAGCAATAATCTGTCTTGGCTCTTAACAAAGTAAAACTTGGCACCGTTTTGGTTCAACTCTTTAAAAGTGCTTTATTTTGTCTATATCGTTCAGTGCTATAATTTGATCTAGTATTGATAATTTTTTAGCTCTGGCATCAGTCGGTGAAAGTTGAAAGGCAGAGATGTGAGAAACATAAAGCCTGACTGGAGAAGGTCTGTCTGCCAGCGTTGTGCCCCTCCTTCCTTCCTCCTGCTGCCTCCTCAGCTTCCCCTCTCAGGCTCTCTCTCTGCTGCTGAAACAGAACACTGAGTACCTTAGCAGCATTTTTCTTGTTCCCCTTTGAGGGTCTCAACGTCAGCCCCCTCTGCAAACTCACCCCAGCACATGTAAAACACCATCTTCTGTCTGGCCACACGTTGTAAATCAGACAGTGGCAGTGCATAGCCGTTCAAAACCTTTGTGTCTTCACGACTTTCTCTTTTTTTAAATTTTTTTGTCACTGTACTAACCTGCTTGCTTTTGGTCCTTTCCTGCAGTGTTGTGTGGTGGACAAAAATGACGGAGTATAAGCTGGTGGTGGTGGGCGCAGGAGGCGTGGGCAAGAGTGCACTCACCATCCAGCTCATCCAGAACCACTTCGTAGATGAATATGACCCCACAATAGAGGTACGACGCTCTTCAGCATGTTCTGCTCATTGTTCTTGTGGGCTTCGTGTTAGGGCTGAGGGGGCCTGTGTGCCAATTGGGACTAAGCTTTGACTCAGAAATATATTTTTGATATTACTTTATGGACAGAAAAAATATTGAGATATGTATCGTATATCGCCATTCATCTTAAAATATTGAGATATTAATTTTGGACCATATCACCCAACTCTAATCATAATGTAAAAAATGGAATTGTTTCTACTTGAATCTCTTTGTGGTTGTACCATTTATGCTTTTACGCATTAATGGAAGATGTGCTGTCTGTTCATTCACTCGTAAAGGTTAAAGCCTAAACTCCGCTGAGGAGTACAAACCGGATTCCAAAACAGTTGGGACACTAAACAAATTGTGAATAAAAACTGAACGCAATGATGTGGAGGTGTCAACATCTAATATTTTATTCAGAATAGAACACAAATCACAGATCAAAAGTTTAAACCGAGAATGTATCATTTTAAGGGAAAAATCTGTTGTTTCCAAATTTCATGGCATCAACAAATCCCCAAAAAGTTGGGACAAGTCCATTTTTACCACTGTGTGGGACCCCCCCTTCTTCTTACAACACTCAACAGACGTCTGGGGACAGAGGCGACCAGTTTCTCAAGTTTAGAAATAGGAATGCTCTCCCATTCATGTCTAATACAGGCCTCTAACTGTTCAATCGTCTTGGGCCTTCTTTGTCGCACCTTCCTCTTTATGATGTACCAAATGTTCTCTATAGGTGAAAGATCTGGACTGCAGGCTGGCCATTTCAGTACCCGGATCCTTCTCCTACGTAGTGTAGTGGACTAGGCCCATGTCAAAAACTAAGTCTAAGGTCAAAAATCTTGACCTTAAGAACCTTGTGGGACAGGAACTGTCATTTCATTGATTTGAATCCAGAAATACAGGTTCACCCATCCTGAGACTTTCTTTCTTGAAGACTCAAGTGAAAAGAACACTCTCTGTTTTATTATCATTACTATTTTACAAATGTTGATAATCAAAGTGTCTTAGTTCAAACCATTTTAGATGTTGCAGTGAACTAATCAATTTTATTAACTGTGTAATGATTTTTATTCTCATGCAAAGTTAGAACTCATGTCAAAGCTGTTACAGAGTAATTATGCCTTTTCTGATTTCTGCTTCTGAATGAGCAAGTGTAAGTTGGTCCAAGGTTGGAGTCAAACGCAAAACAAGTTGTTGGCATGTTTTTAGAATCCTCTCAGACATAAATATAGAGGTTTTGGCACCTGTTTCTGAAACGCGCCAAAACAAAACTCTCTCTGTCTGTGAGAACATTTCTGATCTTTTCATAACAATTCTTGCTGTCTTCTAACCTCTTACGTCACAAAACACACCCCGTCTGGTTGTTTCTGACCAATGGGAATACTCCCAAAAGTGAACCGGGAAAGAGCTCTTTAAAATGTCGGTACTTCCTGGTCTACACAGTTCTGTTAGAAGTTCTGATGGAGTGCTGTTGGAGTTCTGCTGGATACACAGTTCAACCAGTTCTGTGAGAGAAGCCCAGTTCTGGGAGACGGGAAGATCCTGACATGACAACAGAGCTCTTCCGGGTCATGGGAATATAACACTTTCCACTCGCCACTACTTCTGACGAGCTACAGCCATCCGAAGGAGACGCTGGACAGGTAGCGTTAACGGAACTCCATATCTGCTGATTAATCTCAGAAAGGTAATGAGTCAAGTTTCCTACCAAGCGTACCGAGGTGAGCTGGGTTCTGATGGAGAGTGTCGGTTCTGGTGAACACTTCCCCTCACATACCATCTTTACTCCCTTTAACTTTTTTCCCTTTAAACTTTCCTCTCAAGTAGAAATTCTTCCAGATATTTTAGAAATGTCTGTGTAAAGTGCTCATCCACATCCGTGTGGGTAAAAGATCATAGTTGTACAGTTTTCATAAATGTCTGTGGTGAAGCAACGGAAAAATCATGGCCGTATGATTTTTCCTGATTGATTGCTTATGTTGTTATTTTCATAATTTGCCAAATTAATGTAAATGTTGATGTTAAACTTTGATTCTGTAAATAAATGACCGCATTCATTTTGATGGGTCAAACATAAATGACGTCTCACGTTTGCATTTCATTAAATTCAATGCACGTTTTATTCAGTTCAGAAAAATGAGGAATCCGCGTTAATTGATGAATATATCTGAGCATCTGTTCATCTACATATTGCTGGCCCGTACGGGGATTATCGGTAGGTTGATAATGAACGCCATTTCAAATGTTTTGTGATTGACGTAGATTGGGATTGCGCTACCGAGAGTGTAAGCCAGGTGTGCCTGTGTTTGCGTAACTTTTTCGTGCGTAGCGGAGCTGAGGATGTCGTTCACCATCTGTAGAGAGACTAGATACGGTGGGATCCTACCGGTGGCTAGTGTATCTACCGACGAACTGATATCTCTAAGCATGTCAGCAAAAATCCTATCCATTAGGTGTGCGACCGCGTAATCCGCTTCAACCTTAAGGGCTAACTCATTTACCGCTATTACGAGGGCTTTGATTTCTTGGGTGGCACCCAAGAGGGTGAAGATTACCAGTAGTGGTATCATCATTGTCCTATGGAAACACAAAGAGATAGGTCTTAGCTTCGTAATGGTCAAGGGTAGGTCCTGTGAATTTAAACTATGGTTAAGTTTCTTATCCATTAGTTATCTTCTGCTTGGATGACCCTTATTCCCACGAGGTCAGATTTTGTGAGATCTTTGTCTCCTGAGGAGTTATTGCACGCCTTGTGTTGTTTAATCTGGTTACGATGTACCCATTTAACAGTTGGCTCTTTTTGGCCTTTACTGATTTTTATCTGGTAGATAATTGGAGACACTTTGTCGATTATCAGATGGGGTCCAGTCCATCTGGGCATCAGCTTACGGGCGAGAGTTCCGGTCCCGGACTCTCTTCTCCCAGTTTTGGGTGCAAACGTGTAGTACCAGACCCTGTCTCCCACTTGGAGTTCCTCGTGAGAGGCCTTTTGGTCGTAGTACGCTTTGCGTCCTTCAGCTGATTTTTCCAGGTTTTTCTGTGCGAAAGCAAAAGTGTTTTTAAGGTGTCTTTCCAAGTCTTTCATGTATTGTTGTGTGGTGTAGGCTGTTGCCATGGCAGCATCGCCTGGCTGGTACAACAGGTGCAGAGGGAGAGTCATTTGTCGACCCGTCATCATCTCGAAAGGAGCGATGCCAGTCGACGTGTGTGGAGTGGCCCTTATGGCCATGAGGACCAGAGGGAGTTTCACGTCCCAGTCCTTGTGGTTTGCGGCTACGTATTTTTTCAAAATACTCACCACAGTCCTGTTTGCTCTCTCAACCTGGCCTGAAGCCTGTGGGTGGTAGCCAATATGGAAGTTGGCTTTGACGCCTAGCGTCTTCCACAGTTCCTTCATTACTTCACCTGTGAAGTGTGTACCTTGGTCTGAGTTCACCCTAAGGGGAAGTCCAAACCTTGAAAATACATGATTCATTAATAACATAGCAGTGGTTTGTGCTGTGTCATTAGGGGCTGGTAGACATTCTACCCATTTGGTAAACGCGCAGGTTACCGTGAGAAAATATTTATTTCCTCTAGAGGTCTTAGTGAGTGGTCCGACCCAGTCAATCTGGAGGTCCGACCATGGAAATGCAATGCCTCTACTATGCAGTGGTGCTCTGTGAAGTGGTCTGGATG